GTAGAGCTGGATGAACACAGCAGGCGAAGCAGCATCAGAGGAGCAAGGAAAGCTGACGTTTCGGGTCTGGACCCTTCTTCAGAAGAAATTCTGCACTTCTCATCTGGTGAGTAATGGCTTTAGTGCTGCCTTTTCCCATCTGGTGAGTAATGGCTTTAGTGCTGCCTTTCCACTGTTAGTCTTCCCATTTCTGAAGAAGGGTCCAGACCCGAAACGTCAGCTTTCCTGCTCCTCTGATGCTGCTTGGCCTGCTGTGTTCATCCAGCTCTACACCTTGTTATTCAACCATTCAACTGTTAAGGACGTTGCTCATCATCACTTCCTCAAGGGCATTCAGGAGCGGGTAATGAAGTGATGTCCCTCAGTGAATAACCAAATACCACATCTGAATTAAAAACCGAAAATGCTGGAAGTTGCTGATCTGGCAGAAACTAAGGTAATGTCTCAGGTCAATGATCTGCAAGTTAGAATGAAACCTTCACTCCAGATCAATATCATTAATCTAACACATTTTCCAGCGATTTTGTTTAGATTCACAGAGATAGTTTTGAAACTGTCAAGAGTGAAGTGCAAAATGTTAAAATTTTGGCATTGCTGCCTCACAGCACCAGGGACCCGGGTTCAATTCTACCCGCAGGCGACTGTCTGTGTGGAGTTTGCACATTCTCCCCGTGTCTGCGTGGGTTTCCTCCAGGTGCTCCAGTTTCCTCCCACAGTACAAAGATGTGCAGGTTAGCTGGATTGGCCATCAGAAATGCAGGATTACAGAGATAGGGTAGGGCGGTGGGTCTAGGTGGCATGTTCTTTGGAGGGCTGGTGTGGACCCGATGGGCTGAATGGCCTGCTTCCACACTGCAGGGATTCTATGATTCTAAAATGAATCACAACTGGCTGGAAAAGAATCCCTGCTGCAGTATCACATCCACCTGCAGGTGACAGTATAACACCAGGTTTTTGACTTGAAAGCTTTCACCTTTCCTGTTGCAAGACTGCATTGTGAAATGAACTACACATTTTTATAATACATGCAAGATTTCAAATAATGCATAACTATATAATATTAAATAGGAATTACAGCCCAAAAACAGTCATTCAACCCAATTGGTCTGCTCCACACATGCCTCCTCCCACTCCTTTTCACGACACGGTGGCACAGTGGTTAGCACTGCTGCCTCACAGCGCCAGGGACCTGGGTTCGATTCCAGCCTCAGGCGACTGTCTGTGTGGAGTTTGCACATTCTCCCCATGTCTGCGTGGGTTTTCTCCGGGTGCTCCGGTTTCCTCCCACAGTCCAAAGATGTGCAGGTTAGGTGGATTGGCCATGCTAAATTGCCCGTAGTGTTCAGGGAGGTAGAGGGTGTATATTAGGTGGGTCATGGGGGGATGGATCTGGGTGGGATGCTCTGAGGTTCGGTGTGGACTTGTTGGGCCGAAGGGCCTGTTTCCGCACTGTAGGGATTCTAATTCTAATTCTAATTCTAATTCATCTCAATAGCATATTCTTTCTCTGTATCCCTCATATGTTTCTCTAACTTCCCCAAAAAGAGACCAATGCTATTCAAATAATCACCTGGTTTTACAGAACTGGAGCATTGCTGAAACAAAGAGGAAAATTACAAACAGAGAATCAGAATCAACTTACCACGCAATCAGCACCTTTTTCTTGTATGGTATAAATTGCTGTGCTCCTTGAACCTTTGTATTCTTATATCTGTCCTGATGAATACAAGGTGAAAAGCTTTGACAGCATGCCTTTTCCTCAGGCAAATGCTGTTATTCACCTCAACCACTCCCTGTGGTAATGAGCCCCAGATACTCACTACTCTCCGGGTGAAGAAGTTTTTTGCTGAATTGCCAATTGGATTTATTGGTGACTATCTCATGCTGATGTCTTCTAGTTTGGAAAATGAAAACAGCCTCATCTACCCTACCAAACCTCACCATTATTTTAGATATATCAGTTCACCCCTTGCCTTTCTCATTTCTACAAGGCTTTCAAATATCTCTGATAGTGATGACTTAACAGTTCTGGTATTGATTTTGTTTGTGCCTTCTCTGGTGACCCTATTATCCTTTTGTGACTTGGAGACCAAAATTGAGCACAGTACTCCAAGCATGGTCTAACAATGGTTCCATACAAATTTAACATAACTTTAAACTTCTCCATTCTATTCTTCTGCGAGTGAAAGCTGGTGACTTGTTTCTATAAAACTGAACTGGGATACAGGGAATCCTCACTTAAAGTTGTTGTCCTACCCTTGAACATCAAAGTTTTAAGTGAATCACAGGTTTCCGTAGGAATCAGTTTTGAAGATGGAGTTAGGATACTTCAAATATTTCCTTGCCCAGAAAAACCTGAAATACCACACCAAACATGTGCATCACCTATCATTCCTAGCTGAAATAACTTGCAAAAGAAAATACATCGCTAAATATTAGAAAAAGTCTTTTAAAATTCCAATCACCTAAGGTAATGCAGAAATTTTACACTGGCCAGGCTCCATCAGATGGCACACATAGCTGGTGCAAAAGTCTGAAGACTACTTGTATTGAGAATTGTTGACCACTAGTTGGAGCCCTGAATTTCAGTGCAAGCTCAGAATGAGAACCAGGAGTAAGAGAGTCATAGAGCATAGAAACAGGCCCTTCGGTCCAACCAGTCCACGCCAACCATGTTCCCAAACTGAGCTAGTCCCACTTGCCTGCATTTAGCTCATATCCATCCAAATCTTTCTTATTCATGTACTTATCCAAACATCTCTCAAACGTTGCAACTGTGCCTGCATCCACCATTTCCTCTGGCATTTCATTCCACGCACGAACCACCCTCCGTGTAAAAAAAAACACCCCTCATGTACTTTTTAAAACTTTCTCCTGTCACCTTAAAAATATGCCCCCTAGTTTTGAACACCTGCACCCTAGGGAAACAACCCTTGCTATTCACCTTATTTATACCTGTACTGATTTTATAAGCCTTTATAAGGTCACCTCTCAACCTCCTATGTTCCAGTGAAAAAAGTCCCATCCTATCCAGCCTTTCCCTATAACTCAAACCCTCCATTCCCAGCAACATTCTGGTAAGTATTTTCTGAACTCTCTCCAATTTAAAAATATCTTTCCTATAGCAGGGTGACCAAAACTGCACATAGTACTCCAGAAGAGGCCTCGCCAGCATTCTATACAACCTCAATATGACATCCCAACTCCTGTACTCAAAGGCTTGAGCAATGAAGGCAATCATGCTAAACGCCTTCTTAATCACCCTGTCTACCAGTGACGTAAATTTCAAAGATTTATGTACCTGAACGCCTCTGTTCTACAACACTACCCAGGGCCCTGCTATTAATTGCATAGGTCCTGCCCTTGTTTGTTTTACCAAAATGCAATGTCTCGCATTTATCCAAATTAAACTCTACTCCTTAGCCTATTGACCCAATTGATCAAGATCTCTTTGTAATCTTAGATAACCTTCTTCACTGTCCACTATACCACCAATGTTTGAACAAATTTCTGTTATCAGATAACCAGAGTTGTCTGTTAAAATTGTGAGATCATCTGGATATTTTTTATATCACAAGGAAACCACAATTCACACAAAAATAGGCCTAATATAAGTCAAGAAAAGAAAGCAGCGGAAGTTCAGACCCTGGGGATTAACCTAAGAACAGTAGGCAGGAGGCAATGTCAGGTGCAGCAAGGGTAGGAAATAATGCCACACAAGGCAAAGTGGGAAGCAAGTTATGAAAACAATGCTGGGGGCATGTCAGAAAGTAATGGTGGGAAGCAAGGCCATGAGACAAATGCTACAGCAGCAGGGACTAAGGATGAGGGCAGTAGAGATATGGGCAAGTTCATGTGCTCAAACAGGGAAACATTGATATAGTGGAACTGTTGACAGTAAGTGGATGTATTGTCCTCACTTTATCAATAACCTTAAAGTGAAACATTGTGAGTCACTGTTAATTGGGAAATAAATGTAGGGTCAAGCCCTTTGTCTAATTAAAAGAGGAGAAAGAAAGATTGCTCATACCCTTTAAAAAGAGATTACTGCAGTAATATGAAGTTATAAATATATTTTCAGCTAAGATTGCCAAATAGTTTCAGAACCAGATGAAGAACATTAGAGCCAAGATCTGCAATGGCCCAGTAATTCACCCCATCCTAATTTATATCAGGACTTCCAAACCAAATTATCAATTACCACTTTACCTTGCCAGAAAGACTTTGGAATTAGACGCCACTCATGGCCTGGGACTTTCTGACATCTATCAGTTTCATTTTATATATACTTAAACCTGATTCTAATTCACAAGTGCAGCAATCAAAGAGAATGTTGAATCCTGTAACACACAGAATAACATTACATGATAGAAAGCACTGAAGGAAATGAAGAAACCTTTTTATTTAATGATAGTGAGTAGCTATGATTGGATGTGTTGACTGAAAGGATAGAAGAAGCAGATTCAGCAGGAACTCTCAAAGACAATTGAATAAATACTTGAAAAGGAAATAAAATTGTAGTGCTATGGGTAAGAGCAGTGAAGACTGAGGCTAACTGAATAGCTCTTTTAGAGAGCCAGCATAGGAACAGTGGGCCCAATGTCCTCCTTCTGTGCAGCTTTAACTAAAGCTCATTCTTACTGAATTGGTGCAAGTGCCAATTTATTGCCATTAACTGTTGGATTGTGAATATATCAACATGTGGTCAATACGCGAAAGATAAAGTTGCTTTGTGTTTATTTTAAATCTTCACTTTTCTTATTGATTTCTTGCAGCCCAAGGTTCTGAAACTGCTGGGAATGGAGGTACATTAACACCATCAACGTTTATTTCTTTATTCAAGGAAGTCAACTTGGTTTATACAAGAGGGGTTTGGATATTCACCAATGGACAAGTTCCAATATCACACATCAGCATGGTAGCTGAGATGGTATCTCATTGAGGGCTGTCAATAAATTTTGCAAGGCACATGCTATAAAAATATGAATATGCCTGACTGTGTGGCACTGAAGCAATAACCCTTACTTACAAGCATCAGCAAATTTGAGATAATGATAATTTTCCCTCTTTGCCTCAAGTTTTTGAATTAAATGTTCAACCTGACTCTAAGACTCACTCTTTAAAGCAACAAGCACAGTCTCATACATGAAATGTTTATTTTGGGTTTTTAAGATATTAAGATATTAAGATATCTGCACAAATATGCATTCAAGAGTATTGACATGTAGTTTCGCCCATCTAATAATCTGACCAGGATCAAATTTTGAAATTAATTTTACTTTGATTTTTATTGTTGACTATCCCAACCCCTTTTCTATAAACAAATCACGCATTAGAGAATAGTGGAATATACAGCCTGAGAAAAAAGAGTTTGTAACATCTCGGTCATCACTGAGTTATCAGTATTTTTTGGTGTGGTGAGATGTACTGGGTATAACATTGTTTCCTTCTGGGTTCCCTTAATGTCTCTGAAACCTCCCTTTATTTTTCATTGCTGCCTTATGATCTGCATCTGTTCCAATGCTGTTTCCATGTTACTGACGTTTTAGTCACTGTGTCTTCTACTGTCAATCTTTAATTTCTTCATTTCTTTTGTGGTGAATTTTTGTTTATCAAGTCTTGTCAGTTGTGGTTTTGATAACTGCATTATTTAGAAGAATGCCTTGATCATAAATTTCAAGTTCACTGCATATTGTTAGTGTTTGAGAGATATCACCCTTATGTCAAGAATCTGTTATTATTGTCTTTTCGTAAACATTAAGGTCCAGTAGTAAAATTAAGTAAGATAAAATTAAATTTTATACTTGGTTATATGTGACACATATTAAGTGGACCCAGATTTCCATTAGCTCTTTCTAAAATTGGAACAAAACTGGTTTTATTTTTGGAAGTGAAAATTCTGGGAATGTCAGAGAACTGCTTTCAGACAATATGGATGCTTACAGTGTCCTGTTTGACGAATGTGTCTGTGTGTTACTAATAGATATTGCCTTACAACAGGTAGATAACCTGTTCAAGTATTTTATAAACCTTTTGTTATGCGGACTCATTAGATCAGTTAGCTAGATGGTTAGCATGTGATTCAGAGTCACCATCAATAGTGTAGGTTCAATTCCAGCTCTGGTTGAGGTTAGCTTGGGACCTGCCTCCTTGCTCTGTTCCCTCAGGTAATGGCAAGTCAGCACTGGCAAAAATCTACCAAGTAAAGTAGCTCAGGACAAAGCAGCAGGAAGCAGTGGGCCTTCAGGACACAGCACACAAAACAATGACCAACTCCCGTAAATTGTATTTCTCCAAATATTACAAAGGTTATTGGGAAAGCATAATACCATGGGTGCTGAAAATCTGAAATAGAAACAGAAAATGCAGGAAATACTCAACAGGTCAGGCAGCAGCTGTGGAGAGAAAAACAAAGTTGATGTTTGGTGTCTTTGACCTTTCGTGACCCTATGTCGGACCTTCCTGCTGTCCAGGTCCCGACCACCTTCAAAACCTTCACCTCTAACTTTTCCAGTTCTGATGGAAGGTTGTAGTAATGTTGACTCTGTCTTCCTCCCTCTCCACAGAGCATTTCCTGCATTCTTCATTGTTATTGCATGCATTAAATTGTGTTAATGAAATATATTTGAATTGTATTATTACAGACGAACAAGCTTTGATGAGAAACGGGGTTGCCAACTCTGTGATGGGCATTTTCCTGCATGGCATGACTGTCTGTCTCTATTTGCCTGCCTCACATTCTTGCTATTGGGCATCTGTAATGTCAATCCTCATGATATGTTGCCTTCCTACACCCTTGCCCTGTTTGGAAGAATCTTGACTGTCAGTCAATTAGCCTTTTATCCTTCCCTCCTTTTCTTTCTTCAGTGTCCTTCCCCTTGCTCACAGTTGAATGCAATGTTGCACCAGTCACTTCTACTGCAAGCAGCAGCATTTTCTGGGCCAGACTACATTGCTAACTCTGATTTGACACTTGGTAAGGTTCTGATCTTATCCAAGGGGATGTGTCACAAATCCTGCTGGTATCTGCTGTGAGAGTCATTGTCCTCTGGTAAGGATTATCTGCCTCTTCCATCATTTTGTAAGATGCACCGAGAGGTCCTCTATCACCACCAGAGGGAGCTGATGATGCCCACACTTAATTTAGCACATTGGCCAAGGTAAAGACAAGGTATGCCCATTGCCGTGCCTTACAGCTGCTTGGAGGCATAGATGAGAGCTGAGGACAGGGTGGAACACTAGTGAGTATATCCAAAACAAAAGTGTGTGGCTGACACTGATTCATTGCGCTCAAGTCCCATTATAGAAACACTCTTCCATATCAGAGCTAATAAACAAAAAAAAACCAAGAATAAAACAAATTATTTTAACACCCTTATGATTAGTCTCCAGGGTATCTCTTCCAACAATGTCCAAGAGATCAGTCATCAATTCCTGGCAGTTCTGGAGGGTTGGCAGCCCCTACTGACAATGTGTGACATCTCAAGCATAGTGATTCCGTAAAGCCGGTATTTTGCTGATGAATGTTCTCTTGTCAAATAAACAGGAAGAGCCTCCCATGCGAAGAGGCAGGAAGACAACAAAAAAAAGGGAGGAAGATGTGGACATTGACTTGGACGATCCTGAGATTAATCACTTCCCCTACCCTTTCCACGAGCTGATGCTCTGGGCTGTCCTGATGAAGCGGCAGAAGATGGCACTATTCTTCTGGCAGCACGGCGAGGAAGCCATGGCCAAGGCTCTCGTCGCTTGCAAGCTCTGCAAAGCCATGGCCCATGAAGCCTCAGAGAATGACATGGTCGATGATATCTCACAAGAATTAAACCATAACTCCAGGTTTGTTTGTGATTATTTCACAAAGTGGCAACACATAACACGGCTGGCTATGTACACAAGGCCTCGCCTTTATGTTCATTCCTCCTTCCTTCTGAGGGAAAGCAATAGAAGGGGAGAGAAAGACTTGGGAGTGAGAGAGAAAGAAAGAGAGAGAGAGGAAAGCACAAAAAGTAATAAGAACATAAGCAGGAACACCTAGGAGTGGCCATACAGCCCTTTGAGTCTGTTCTGCCATTCAGTAGGATCAAGGCTGATCTTTGAACTCAAATCAAATTGCACTCCCCATCCCAGATCCCATGATTCCCTTAGGGAGTCAAACAACACTGTTCCTATATCTTATGGTCAATCCGTGGACCTTGCTTACCTTTTTAAGTGGAATAAAACCAAATTACCATTAAATCTATGCTTCTGTTAAGGGTAGAGTCACAATTATTTTAACCCATCTGTGTTGCTGTGAATCTCTCTAGTGGCCACCTTCTACACCCTTTCCAAAGCCTCAATATCACTGACCATGTTATCTATACTTGCTTGCTAACTTTGCTGACATCCCCATTGAGAGTGGGGCATTTTAGATGTAATTGAGCCCACTACTACTGCCACTAAGAAGTGGATCAGCTAATATTTCTTTCGGTTTAATACCCAGACTGAGGTGGCAGAGGAACTGGGTGTGAAAGGGTGGATCATGAGGTAGCAGCAAGAGCATTATGTCCCCCAGGGTTGTTGTTGACAACAATGTAATTGGGGAAGGCTGTGGGTAGATGGACAGTAAAGGAAATCGTAACCTGACTTTGCCCATCACCCAGGAAACATACATTAAAGGATGGCAGGGTGACAGAGGGCTCCTGTTAATCTGGAGCAATGTTCAAGTCAGCACCAACAAGAGTGAAGGCTATTGTTTCAAACAGGTTAATTGAACATTGGCCTTTATCTCATGGAGGACTGGAATTTAAAGAGGTGGACGTTCAATGGGTCATACAAAACCCTGATTTGACACCATTTCAAGTACAATACTACACAGTCTGAGCACCACACCTTAGGAACGGTAATGGATTGTCTTGCAGAGTCACCAGAATTAAACCGGACTAAATTACAAGGATAGGCTACATAGACTTGGTTTGTATTACCCTGATTATAAAAAATTAGGAAATGGTATAACTGGGGTGTTAAGATAATTAAGAGAGTTGATCAGGTAGTTGAAGGGAAACTATTTCCTCTGGTAGTAATGAGTCAGATTAAAAATCAAGCAAGGATATTCAGGGGCAATCAGAGGAAGCACTTCCTGCAGATAGGTTTTGAAGCAGTAGTGGAGGTCAAGTGAAATGTCAGAGCTGAATTTGTCAGGGATGGACATTAAGAATTAGAGTATCAAGGCAGGTGGGTGGAGTTAAGATAGAGGTCAGGATTATCAAATTGAACGGTAGATCAGGAAATTGAGGGGCTGAATGGCTTGCTATGTGAATCCGGAAGGATGGAGGGTGCGGTGGTGTTGATACCTGAAATGAGAGTGATTGATACTCAAGGAGAAAACAAAAATGAGATGTAACTTTGCATTAAGTGGATTTGAATCAGACCTCAGCTCGGTCTGACTGCAGTTGTTCCACGTGTAGGGAGTTTGCTCAGCTTGCTGTCGAGCTCCTGGACCAGTCGTACAAGCAGGAGGAGCAGATGGCTATGAAGCTGCTGACCTATGAGCTGAAGAACTGGAGTAACTCGACCTGCCTGCAGCTGGCTGTAGCAGCTAAGCACCGAGATTTCATTGCTCACACCTGCAGCCAAATGCTACTCACTGACATGTGGATGGGGAGGCTCCGAATCCGCAAGAACTCAAGTCTGAAGGTGAGGACAAAGCGATGCTGTGCAGTGCCAGGAACTACCATACAGAGGATTGCGCAGAATTTTATAGTGCAGAAATAGACTGTTGGAATGATCAAGTCCAAATTTCTGTTGCTAATATCTAACTCACACCAAATCCTATTCACCCATCACCCCTGTGCTTGCTGACATACACTGGTTTCCACTGTGGTATTACTCCAATTTTAAAATTCTCATCCTTTCAACTCTATCCATACTTGCCCTCCTCCCTATCTCTGTAAGATCCTCTGTGCTCTTCCAATTCTGTCATTGTGAATCCCTGATTGTTTTATTGCTCCACAATTGGCCACCAAGCCTTCAGTTGCCTAGGTGCCAATCTCTTGGATTCCCTCTCTAAATTTTTCTCCATTTTACAAAAACCTTTAATCTCAGCTTTGAAATTTTCAGTAGATTTCTAGCCTCAACATTTGAGGAAAAAGTTTCAGATTTCACTAGCCTTTGTATGAAGAAGTGCTTTAATCTAAAGATTCAAAGCAAACCTTACCATTCCATCACTATTTGGGTCCAATGATACATCCCTTATTGTGTTCGTGTTTATGCGATTCACCCCGATTTTTATTCCTATTGCTCAATCCTACCATCTCCCAAAAAACATCTAACCATGACCTGAATATATTTATAACATTCACTTTCCTTCCCTAACGCAATGACTCATTCTGCAGTATTTATGGTGGATAAAATGGCCTATTTAGTATTTCTTTCTTGCATATCTTTCTCATTTTTAACTTGTCTAAAGCCTTTAACATAAATTAGCATATAAAAGCATGAATCAATATTATCAGTCTCCTTTACAGATCTCACAGTAGTCACACAATTTTGTTCTGCTGGCGTGAATCATTTAATTCAGTTCATTTTCACCATTCTTATTTAACTGATTCATGAATGGTTATCAGCTTGAAGTGAGCTTCTAACAAATTTTTACATTCATTTTTCCCCAAGGTTATTCTGGGCATCTTGCTGCCTCCATCGATCCTCAGCCTGGAATTTAAGAACAAGAATGAGATGTCGTATATGCCACACAACCAAGAGTCAGTCTTGCTGGGGAAGGAAGTGGAAGAGCCAGAGAAACCTGTCAAAGAAAAGGAGGAGGAAGATATGGAGTTCACAGTAAGCAAACACCAGAGACACTCAAGCTGCGTTGTCAGCGTGAAACAGAAATTAAAGAAAGAACTTTTGCAGTACCAGGACATAACAAAATGCTTTACAGCCATTTAAGATCATTTGCATTGAAATAACAATTGTAATGCAGGAAATATGACTTCCAATTTGCACTCAGTAGGTTCCCCCAGAAGAAAACTATGATCATTACTAAATAAAAACCGAAAGAATTGTGGATGCTGTAAATCAGGAACAAAAACAAAGTTGCTGGAAAAGCTCAGCAGGTCTGGCAGCATCTGTGAAGGAAAAAACAGAGTTAACGTTCCTCAGAACTAAGGAAGGGTCACCGGACCCGAAACGCTAACTCTGTTTTTTCCTTCACAGATGCTGCCAGACCTGCTGAGCTTTTCCAGCAACTTTGTTTTTGTTGATTATGATCATTACTAGGTTTATGATGATGACTTAGAGATAAATAATAGGCAGGAGAATTCTCCAAAATTGTCCTTTTACATTCCTTTCACAGGATAAGGGCCATGGTTTAATGTCTCATCCAAAAGACTGCACCTCCAACAGCGCGGCATTCTCTCAGTACCGCAGTGGGAGTGTGTTCACATGCTGGAGTAGGTTTGAGTCTCTAACCTTCCGGTGAAGAGAAGGGTGCCACTCACTGAATCGTGGCTGATATGACTTAAAGGCTGAGGCTTGTTTCAATAAGGTAGGCTGGGGAGGCGTGCATGGGGTAAAATGAGCCAGCCCAATAACTGAGAAATGGATTTATGATTCATTATCAACAACCTCATCACCATAAATTCTCAGCCAAAAGATCTGAACAGTACATTGAATAATTCAGCACTGAAGAAGACCATTTGGTCACTATGCCTCTCTTGTCTCTTTCAAAGAGATGTCAATTAGTCCCACTTCCCTGCTTTTCCCCATTCCAATGCAAAGGTACCCAGTCAGTAACTGAACCAAACATTCTAAACAGGTCTCAGGTTTAATCCTGTTGGCTCCTAATAGAGCAACACTTTGATTTTTGAATGCCCATCTCTGTTTTCAAATAACTCCACGGCTTTGACTCTTCCTATCTCTGTAACGTTCTCCAACCCTATAAGCCTCTGAAATCTCTGCGCTCCCTGGTCCCCTGCACAATCCAATTTTGATCCCCTGACCACTGGCAGATCTGTCTTCAGTTGCTGAGGCTGTAAGCTCTGGAATTCTCTCCCTCAACCTCTTTGCCTTCCTGGTGTTCTTTAAGAATCTCCTTAAGTCCTACCATTTTGACAATGCTTTTGGTCACCTATCTTAAGATCTCCTCGTGTGACTCAACATCAAAGTATACCTGACAACACTCTTGTGAAATGTTTTGGGTCATTTTCCACATTAAAGGTTCTGTGCAAATGCAACTTGTTTTTGGTTGGGGTAGGAGAAAGAGAATAATGCCTAGTATTTCCCCTCTGCTCCTGTCCTGTACCTGGATTTTGAGACAGGGATCCAATTAAACACTACAAGCTAAAGTTCTCCCATAAATATTGGTGAAGTGCTTAAATTTATTTCCATTGAATCTTTTCTGATAGCAACATGTGCTGGGTTTACCTACTGAAATTGGGCACGCAGGCCCCTGCACTGACGAAAATTTAGATTGATGATGTTGTTTGTCATCATGCCAGTCTCCCTGATTACAGAAGATGAGCAGATATGGAAATTTAAAGCCTGTCAGCCATTCTGTAAATGCTATTGAGCCAACCCAACCCAATCGTCCATGAGTTTTCATTGCCTACTGCATTCAATGTGAGAACGTTTATAGAGTGCTTTATGTCAGCTGTATCAAGATTGCACAAGGGTGACAGCAAAAGCCCAGATGCAGCGACCATGTTGAATCTACCAGTCCATTCTTCTGCAGAAGGTGTCGGTATGTTTTATAATTACATTTTTTAAAACTTCTTTTTGCCTAATTTAAAAATGAAAAGAGATTCTGAGAAGAGGATGTTTTTACGATTATAGCAATGACCCACTTCCAATTTTTAATATCTCGTTGCATTTGCAGTCGCACCCATGCCTTAAATCTTTTCCAACAAAGAGAACAAACTGTGTCAGGTCTTGTTGTGATGTTTGTTTTGAGCTTTCTGTGTGTGAATCCTATTCTATTGGCCTTCTCTTCCTTCTCTCACACTCTTCAGTCTTAGCCACAGGGTATTTGCAGGGGAGGATGGTCACATGATAGACCCACTTCCCGTTTGCAGTATTACCTCTCTGTTGTGTGACATCCCAGCTGACAGGCACAATCGGGGCAAATCCCCGAATTTGTTCCTCTAATTCGGAATGAACTGCTGGACTGCTACTAATTGGTCATCCAAAGCTTGACTGGATGAATCAGGACCGGGTACAAGTGGAAATTTCTGTTTCACCTCCCTCAGCCTGCTGAAAACCACAAAATTCAACCCCGGAAAGTCAGCAAAAATTCCTTTCCCCAAAGTGTATCATTTCACTAAGAAAATGGCTCCTGCTGAAGCCACGTTAGGTAAAGGAGGGGACTGAAACCTCTCATGCACATTCAGAGGCTATCGCTACTAAATTGTTCATCATCTATTTACTGATTGCAGGAGTCAGTCTATCGTCCACATCTATTTTCTCTGGAGCACATACTGGCTCATTCTTAAAGGGACCATCACTTACAACATTTTCAGTTGCAGTGGTTGATATTAATTGTAAAACTGGACTATCAAAGGCTGAGTCTCAGAGCTGTGATCTTCTGTTACCTTCAGGCAATGCTGGACGGGGTGAATGGAGAATCAGTTCGAAAGAAAAATGAAGAGGAAGTACCGACTGTACATCGAATGATTCCCTTTGGAAGAAAGATTTATGAATTTTATAATGCTCCAATCGTCAAGTTCTGGTTTCACACGGTAAGCAACAGAATGAAAACTTGATTTCAGACAGTTCAATAACAGGCGATTCTCACATTGATAGGTATTGACAATGCCTTGGCAACAGTCATGGCCCAGGTACATGGAGTTTTTTGAAGGGATCATTAATCTAAAGTAACATAAGATGGCCAATTAAAATCAAATCCAATTGATCACCGTTTATGCAGAGGATGTGACTGACTAACTGACTGTTAATAATTGGCAGTATTTCAAGTACTATAAATGTCAATCACACTGTATTATGTTAAAATCCACCTTCCTCAACTGGCTACATTCGATCAGTTATTCTCAAAGTCAACAATTTCATTTTAAAGTCATTTACAGGAGGCTGCCAACATTACTAAGGCCAGCATTCACTAGCTACCCCTGGCTATCCCTTGAGAAAGTCTTAAGGAGCAATCTGCTTGAACCACTGTAGTCCACATGGTATAAGTGGGCCCACAGTACGGCTAAGGAAGAAAGTGCAGGATTCTGATCCCATGATGATGAAAGAATAGCTGGTATATGTCCAAGTCAGAATGATGTCTGTGACTTGGAGGGGGAGCTGAGGTTGTGGTTTCCCTATGTACCTGCTGCCCTGCCCTTCTTGTTGAAGGACATTGTGGGGTCCTGACTGCTTTTTAATAGCCTGATCAAACATTCTATGGTTTACTGGATTGGATAATATCAGCATCTCATGCTGCAATCAGCTCGCACACATATGTAGGATTCTTGGTTTTTCTTGCTCATCCTGGTTATCTGTCACAATAACCATCTGCAAAAATACAATTTACATTTAATTAATTTCTTTAACACATCAAGGTGAATCACAGACAAGAGGTATATGCTCCGATTCAGTGGAAGAGTTAGGAGAGGTGAAGAAACATGCATTTGAAAAGATAACCTTTATAGGCATAAAGAATGGGAGCAAAGGTGAAAAATTCTATAGAGTGTAAAGCCAATCTGGAAACAGAACTGGCACAGAAGACAAAACAGAAGGGGAAAAGGTCACTGAGCTATACTTGCTACAAAGGACGTACATTCAGATTTAAGGACCTGTTCTCTGCAAATAAAAGGAATATGTTCAAGCCTTGTGCCTTTTCTGAATCACCAGGGAGCTTGGGAAGACTGTACTTCCCTGTTACTGTCTCCATGGCAGCACCTCAGAGTCAGCTCACCAACCAATCTGCATCTTTTCACGTTCAAAATTTGACATTTGTGAGAGTGACTGCACTTGACATCAAGGCCCAATTTCACCAAGTGTGACATCAAGGAAACCTAGAAAAACTAGTTGGTCAGGGGCAAGCCTTTTAGTGATTAGTGTTATGTCTGGTACAAAGAAAAATAATCGTGCTCTTTGGAAGTCAGTCAGTTTAGCTTCAGGACATGTCTGCAAGAGTTCCTCAGGGTAGTGTCCTAGGCCCAACCATCTTCACCTGCTTCATCAATAACCTTCCCTCCATCATAAGGTCAGAAGTGAAGATGTTCCCAGATGATTGCACAATGTTCAGCACCATTCACAACTCCTCAGATACTGAAGTGGTCTATGTCCAAATTCAGCAAGAGCTGAAGTATCTAAGTTTATGCTGGCAAGTAGCAAGTAACTTTAATTACATACAAGGGCCAGGCAATGACTATCTCCATCAAAAGAAATTCTAACCAGTGGCTCAGTTGTTAGCACTGCCTCCTCATAGCGCCAGGGACCCGGGTTCAATTCTGGCCATAGGTGAGTGCGTGCATAGGTTTCCTCCTACAGTCCAAAGATCCGCAGGTTCTGTGGATTGGCCAATGCCAAATTGCCCATAGTGTCCAGGGATGTGTAGGTTAGGTGGATTAGCCATGGGAACTGCAAGGATAGGGTAGGGGGGTGTGTCTGGGGGGGATGCTCTTCAGAGAGTTGGTTTGGACTTGTTGGGCCAAATGGCCTGTTTCCACACTGTGGGAATTCTATGAAATCTTGACATTGAATGGCATCACAATTGCAGAATCCCACACTATTTATGTCATGGACGTTACCATTAACCAGAAACTGAACTGGACTTACCATAGAAATACTGAATAGAATAGCATATCCTTTATTGTCATATGTACTCCATTGTAGAAGTACAGTGAAAAATTTTACAATGTCTGCCTCTTTTGGCACCATCTTAGGTGCAAGTACCTAGGCACAAATCTTGGATACAAAAGAGGAATAAAAAGTATTTGCATTACTTTACATAGTTTAAAAAATGAGTTATAAATAAGACATTCTTAAAGGATTGACATTACAATCAGGTAAAAAGTTTCAAATAAACATTACACTCTAGCAGCAGCAGCTCAGTGCAGGGCCTCACAACATGGTCTGACTGTCTGTGCCAGACCCCAGTCCAACACTCATCCTCGCTCTACTCCACACCCCAGTCCTTTCGGTCCCAGCACTCAGCCACTCCAAGGTAAGGCCTAGGAGTGCGTCCTCAGGGCCGGTCTCTGCCCAGGACTCACTGCCTGCGCTGTTCCAGGACTTGCTGCCTGTGCACTGCTCTGCGGCTCATTGCCATCACTGCTCTCAGACTCGCTGTTCATGTGCTGCTCTGGGACTTACGGCGCGCGCGCTGTTCCGGGATTCGCTCCCCCCAACTGCTGCTGCTCCAGGATTCGCCTCCGGGGATAGGGAGAAAAAAAAAGAGACAAAAAAAAAGAAAAAGAAAGAAAAAGAACAGGCGGAGCAGAGGAGATTTGGAAGGAGCATCTTACTCTGCTACCATCTGGCTTTAATGAAAGGAAAGATGGTGGCAGAGTAAGACTGTGACTACAGGAGTAAGTCAGTGAGTAACTCACTTCCTGACTCCCCAAGGCCTGTCCACAGGCACAAGTCAGGAGTGTGATGGAAACCTCTCCACTCACCTGGATGAGTGCAGTGCAATAACACTCAAGATGCATCACACCATCCAAGACAAAGCAGGCCACTTGATTAGCACCACAACCACAAAGATTACGCCATCACCAAGTAGCACAGTGTATACTATCGATAAATGCACTGCAGAAATTCACCAAAGCTCCTTAGATAGCATGTTCCAAACCCACAGTCATCTCAAAGATCAACAGCAGCAGATAAACACCAGCACTCACAAACTCCCCTCCGAGCCACTCCCGGATCTGACTTGGAAATGTGTCACCATTCCAGTAGTGTGGCTGTGTGAAGTTCCTGGAATTCCCTCCCTAACAGCATTGTGGGGGTACCTGCAACATGTGGACTGCAACTGTTGAGGCAGCCAATTCATCACTACCTCCTTGAGGGCAACTAGGGGCAGGTAATAAATGCTGGCCCAGTAAGCGATGTCCGCATCCTATGATTGGAGTGGGGGGGTGGGAAGGAGACAGCTATGACCCCAGACCATGAAAGGAATGCTTCTCATGGGCTGCTCCCACCCCACCCCACCACCCCACCACCCCCCCAACTCCTAACACTACAGTCTCAAGCAAATAACAACCGAGAGCTTGGTGGACTAACATTGAGGCCTGCCCCTTCCTCCAAGTGATGAAGATTTCAACACCATTTAAATGTCCTGAATGTCAGCCAATATTTTGCTGATTATATTAAATTGTGTTTTCCATCAAACAGCTGGCATACTTTGGCTATCTGATGCTTTTTAACTATATTGTCTTGGTGAAGATGGAGCGATGGCCGTCAGTGCAAGAATGGATTGTCATTTCTTATATCTTCACACTCGGCATAGAGAAGATGCGAGAGGTAAGTTTTTCTGAACAGCATAATATAAAGTGTGATCTAGTTATCCATGAGATTGCCATGAGCCTGTACCTACTGTCGAAGAGATCTTAAGACAGGTGATCATAAGAGGCAGATTTTAAGCAGCTTTTTAAAGAGAAAAAGATGGAGAGGTTTACAGAGGGAATTCCAGAGCATAGAGTTGCTTTAGCTGGATATATGGCTGCCAGTGGTGGAGTGATATAGATTGGAGCTGGGAAAAGGCCATAATTAAAGGACTACAGAGATGTTCAAGGCTGGAAGACTTGGAGGAGATTACATGGACAGGGAGAGGTGAGGACATGAAAAGGTATTGACTCCAGGCCCACTACCTCTAGTTATTTACAGGTAATGAACAGAGGAGGTCATTGGAACCTCACACAGTATGGCAGGTGAAACACTAGCTTGATTGAATGCAGACAGAGACAGTTCCTAGATTGTTGAGGTTGTTAATTATAAATTAATTCCACTTAATAGTAGGTGGGTATTAACTGGCTAGTAACTTGTGTTCATACTCACAAGAACAGACTGGTCCTCTTATGGCACAGTGGTAGTGTCCCTGTCCTGGACTAGGGAGGCCTTGGTTCAAGTTCCACCTGCCCCCCAGTATGTAATAACATCTTTGAACAGATTGGTTAGAAGATATTTTAAAAAATAAGAACAGGCTGAAACCTTGCCCATCCCTAATTGCCCTCAAACTGAGTGGCTTGTTAGGCCATTTTGCAAAGTAATTAAGAATCAACCACATTGCTGTGGATCTGAAGTCACATGTAGGCCACACCAGTTAAGGAGAGCAGATTTCCATCCCTTAAGGGCACTAGTGAACCAGGTGGGTTTTTAACAACTGATTATAGCTCCAATGAACCAAGCTTTCAAATCCAGGTTTATTTAATATTAATGCATCTACTCTGCAGGAAATTGAACCTGTGTTCTAGTGCCTTACTGCTACACCACCATCTCTCCCCATGTGTGCCCTCTTAGCTAGTAGAGCCATACACTGATGCAGCTCAACAATGCCTAACTCATACTTATTCCTTTGGTCTTTTCACTGAGTTGATACAGTAATTTCACTTGTTCAGATCCTGATGTCAGAGCCTGGGAAATTGTTGCAGAAGGTGAAGGTCTGGCTGCAGGAATACTGGAATATCACGGATCTCATGGCTATTCTGCTGTTTTCTGTTGGGATGGTGCTACGCCTGCAGGAGCAGCCGTACATGAGCTATGGCCGGGTTATCTACTGCGTCAACATCATTTACTGGTACATTCGCCTATTAGACATCTTCGGGGTCAACAAGTATCTGGGGCCTTATGTCATGATGATTGGAAAAATGGTAAGATGAATAAGCTACTTAATCAAAGCAAAATACTACAGATGCAAGAAATCTGAAATAAAAGACAGAAAGTGTTGGAAACACTCAGCAGGTCAGGCAGCATCTGTGGAGAGAGGAGCAGAGTTGGTGCTTCAGGTCGATGATCTTTCATCAGAACTGGCACAAGTTAGAGATATAATGGCTTTTAAGCAAGTACAGAGGCAGTGAAAGGGACTGGGTGTGGAGGAATGGAAGAGAAAGTCTGTGATAGGATGGGAGGTAAAATATACAACGTGTCAAGGTAAAGGGTCATAGGACAACAAAACGAAAGATCGGCTCAGTGAGGTATAAATTATAACAGCAAAATTGTTATTGCCATCCGAAAGAATGAGGCAAACGGTTACGATCTGAGATGATTGAAGTCAGTGCTGAGTCTGGAAGGCTGCAGAGTGTCAAACTGAAGAGTGAGGTGCTGTTCCTCAAGTTTACTATGAGCTCCATTGTAATAGTATAGGAGACCGAGGACAGATTTCAAATCCGGCTCAAAAACAACGAAATATTATCAAAACTATAATTATCAGAAAAAATAAACTGAAACTAGTTTTAGTTCCAAATAGGAGAAAACTGAGTGGCGACTTGATCATTAAAATTCTGAAGGGGATTCATAGGGATCATCATAGAAGACATTTCCACTTCTGAGAGAGACCAAAAGTAAGGACCATAATTATTCACCAATAAAATGAAAAGATAATTCAGGAGAAACATCTTCACCCAGGGAGTGATGAGAAAGACACACTGGCTGCCACCTGGTGTAGCTGAGATGAAGAACGTAGAAGTAGTTAAGGGGAAGCTTGATAAAAATGTGAGAATGAAAGGAATAGAATATTCTACTGAGGGGTGAGCTGAGGTAAAGTGGGAAGAGACTCATTTGGAGCAGGTACAACAGTGTAGAGCAATTAGGCTGAATGGCCTGTTTCTGTGCTGTAATTTCTATGTAACTATATAGATGCATGAGACTTGAAAAATTGAAGACATTGTGTCCTTCCCTCAGCGAACCATAATATGTCAATAAAAGCCATGTTATTAAGATTTTTTGACTGATTTAACTGTTTATACACCCCAGAAAACGTATTTTGAAGTTGGAGCAAGTGCACTGCAAATTCACCAGAATTATGTCAAAGCTAAAGAATTATGAGGACTTGTTGCAAAAACAATGTCTATTCCTTCAAGTTTAGAAAATTAAAGGTGATCAAATTAGAGTGTCAAAGATGAACAAAAGCAACCATAGAATCTCTACAGTGTGGAAGCAGGCCATTTGGCCCAACAAGTCCACATTGATGCTTTGAAGACTATCCCACCTAGACCCACACCCCAACCCTATCCCTGCATTCCCCATGTCTAATCCACCTAGCCTGCAGATCTCTAGACACTATGGGTAATCTGCCTAACCTGCATATCACTGGACTGTGGGAAGAAACCAGAGCAAACCCAAGCAGACACATGAAGAACATGCAAGCTTCACCCAGACAGTTGCCCGAGGCTGGAATTGAATCTGGGCTCCTGGTGCTCTGAAGCAGCAGTGCTAACCACTGATCCACCATGCTGGCCCTAGTAGGGGACAGAAGGGAAAATAGAAATTTCTTCTGATCGTACAGTCAAGAGCAAGAGGGTACAACCTTTTTATAAATGTTTCTTCCATATGATAAAGGTATGACCAGCTGGCTCCTATTTATTGCCCATTCCTGATTGCCCTTGAACTGTTTGGTTCTCTAGGCCACTTCAGAGTTAAGAATCAGCCACATCACTGTGAGTCTAAACTTGAGTGCAGGCAAGAATTGTACATTTCCTTCATCAAACAATATTAATGAACCAGATGGGTTTCTAAGACAATCGTTACCTGATCACCAGCCTTTTTAAAATTTCAAACTTCTATTCAGTTCAAATGTCATCACCTGCCATAATGGGATTGAAACCATCTTCTCAGAGAATTAGCCTGGGGAGCGGTCTGGATTATCAGTCTAGTGACATTGCCACTGCCTCCCTTTAGGTACAACAATCTGAACCCATCTCCCCAAAACATTAACCTGGGCCTCTGAATTACTAGTTCAGTGATATTACCACTACCATACTCGTTAGCTAGTCTAGTCATGAGTGATGTTCGGAAGTGCTTCTGTGCACAACTGGGAGTTAAAATCTGGAACTCTCTCCCTTAAAATGATGAATTAGAATTAGTCTTTTTTGTCACGTGTAACTCAAGCACAAAAGTACAGGAGTACAGTAAAAAGTTTACTATGTTGCCACACAGTGCCATCCTAGGTACAAAGTACCTAGTTACAAATCTTAGATACTAAAATAAATTAGGTACAAAAATAGCGAAATAAAGAAAAAACCCAGAAGTTCTATATTACAGTTCTTCATAGTAAAAATTAGGAAAGTAAATAAATAAAGTTATAAGATAGACATTACAGTCCTTCTATAGCCAGCAGTCACTCCATGTTGAGGGTTTTTAAGATTTCAAAATTGCAATTGTTAGATTTTTGATCTGACAATGGTTTGAAGTATTAGGGAGTAAAAGCAGGATAAGTGAATTAAAATGAAAATCAACCATGATCTCATTGAACAGTGGACAAGGTTTGAGGGTCTGAATAACATTCTCATGTTCTCGTATTCCTATCTGGCCTAAAAAGTGATTTCCAAATTATTGTTTTGTTTTTGGGAACTAAATTTTGATTCAATGCCATGTTTTTCCATCAACAGTGTGCTTCATTTTTATAAATTGAATTCTAGATTCCCAAAGTGAGTTCAGAAGGTCAATGAAATGGATTATCTTGCAAATAAAGAAAAATAGAACTTTTTTTCCATAACAAAAACCGAAAGAACTGCAGATGCTGTAAATTAGGAACAAAAACAAAGTTACTGGAAAAGCTTTTCTGATGAAGGGTCTAGGCCCGAAACGTCAGCCTCTCTGCTCCTATGATGCTGCTTGGCCTGCTGTGTTCATCCAGCCCTGCACCTTGTTGTCTCGGATTCTCCAGCATCTGCAGTTCCTACTATCTCTTACTGGAAAAGCTCAGCAGGTCTGGCAGCATCTGAGGAAGGGTCACCGGACCCAAAATGTTAACTCTGTTTTCTCCTCCACAGATGCTGCCAGACCTGCTGAGCTTTTCCAGCGACTTTGTTTTTGTTTTTTTCGGTAACATTTGCTTTCCTAATTAACTTATTCGTGAATAATTAAGGTTTCAATAGGACAGGTAGAGATAAAATATTTCCTCTACTAAAGTATTAGTATAAAAGGACATAATCTTAAAATTAGAGCTGATTTTGGGAAGCACTTCTTCACATTAAAGGTAATGGAAATGTGAAACTCTGTCATCTAAAAGGCAGCAGAGGCAATGGAAAATTGCAAAACTAAGATAGTTAGATTTTTGTCACACCAGAATATTAGAGGTTACAGAATGAAGGTAAGTAGTAAAGCTAAGATACAGATCAGCCAGGATCTAATTGAATGGTGGAACAGACTTGAGGGGCTGAATGGCCTCTGGGTTTTCCTATATAACTAACCTTGCCTTCCTTTATCTCACAGATGATTGACATGATGTATTTTGTGATCATCATGCTAGTGATATTAATGAGCTTCGGAGTAGCGCGACAAGCAATTCTTCACCCCAACGAAGACCCTTCCTGGAGGCTGGCGAGAAACATTTTCTACATGCCCTATTGGATGATCTACGGAGAAGTGTTTGCTGACCAGATTGATCGTGAGTGCGCGTGGATAATCATGGTTTGAGTGGGGGGACATGGGGCGTTTACAATACAAACTTATTCCTAAAGTCTCAAGCATGGACCAGATTTCAGGAACTGTTGCAAAACATCCATCTGAAACCCAACAGTGACAATTGAATCAGAAACCTTAAACTGCACTTGGGAAAACAATATGGCCTGAAAGAAAAAGTATTTTTATTAACCTGTTCAGAGTTGCTATCACACATGTCTGGACCAGGTGGGACTTAAACCGGGCCTCCCAGTCCAGGGATAGGGACACTGCCAATGCACCACAAGAGGGCCCTAAAATCAGATGGTTTCTTTATCGTTTGAGCTAAATCACTGTCTGATAGCATTATTGGAACGGGTCAGATCCATACTTGAAACGAACTAGTGGCATCATTGGCCTGCTGAGAACCACACACCTATTTGCATTTATATAATACCTGCAACAGAATAAAAGGGTGCTGCACAGGAGTGATTAACAAACAAACTTTAATATCGAGTCATGGATGGAGATAAAGGTCAAAAGCTTGGCCAAAGAGATAGATTAAGAAGCATTTTCGAGAAGGGGAATGAGGCAGAGAGATTTCAGGAGAGTTTCTCGAGTTTTTGGCACAGGCTGCTGAAGGCACCAACACCAACTGTGCAGCAATTAAAATTGGGGATGCACAAAATGTGGAAACTGGAGCAGTGGATATATTTTAGAAAGTTTGAGGGCTGGAGGAAATTACAGAGAGAGGGAGGAGCAAAAACATGGAGAGATTTGAAAACAAGGATGATGATAATAAATTCTAATCTTTGGTTTCTTCTTAATAACCTCTTCAATGTACCACTGGCATATAGAATGGGCTAGTAAGGCTCCAACTGCAATTTTAATCCTGCCTGAATCCCCTCTCCCCTCACACAGTGTTTCCTCTAAGCCGCGTAGCAGTGATGACCATCTATGTCAATTGGCATGTACTGATGCCATTTCCACCATTGACTTCCAGTTTCAGAAGCTGCTGTCTCACATGGATCTTAGAGGTCTGTGCAGAAAAGAAACGAATTAGAGGGAAGATAGCCCATACAATAACCATAGGACAGGATCAAAAGGATTAAAATATAATAAAATATTATATGGAAATTCCTTCAACTACTACACAGAAGATAAAGAGGTGCTGTAACTGATGACAGGATTTGATAAGATAGATTAATTTCCTCTAATGGGAGAGTGTGGTCATATACATACAACTAAAGCTCACTCATTCAGGGTGATGACAGGAAGCACTTCTTCACACCAAGAATAATGGAAATCTGAAACTCTCACCCGCCCAAAAAAAGTACTGTGTGAAGGCTGAGGGCCAATTGAAGGGTTTGCGACAACAATTGATAAATGTATTAAGAGTTACAGAATCAAGGCAGGCAAAATGGAGTTAAGATACAGATTAACATAACCCAGTCAAAAGGCAGCAGCTGCATAGAATAGACATGACTAGGTGAACAGTCTCCTGTGATTGAACCATTCTATAAATAATCTCAAGAACATAAATGGACAAGAATGAAGCAATTGAAAATAAGAGCTTATGTTACTAACTAGTTATCAGCTGGTTTAAAGGTTCAGGATACGGACAGGAAATGCAAACTGTTTGTCACTGGTTGGAATTGATATTTCTTCACACTTAGTTGTATCTTTTTCTTTTGGCTTTTTCATATAGTTTGAAGTTATTTGTTCCAATTTAATATTTTGGTTTTTTTCCCCTTTATTATTTTACACCTTCCTTGCACTGTGAACTGTCAGCATGTTGGACTCGATATTCATCCAGTGAAAAGCTCATCATTATTTAGGTTGGTTGAATCACTTTTATGTTTCTCCCTGTTTAAAATCCTATTTCATGAGGCACTTTTGGATTATGATTTTGAATTTGAATCCATAAACCCTGCTAGGACTAGAAAACGTACCGAACTAATTGTGAGCTCTCAGGGTCCTGAGTAGCTCAATGAAGATGTGACACATTTAATTCTTTTAACATGTTAGCCCAGCATAGAGGTACCACTCTTCCATTCTATAGTGCCTTTTGCAACTATAAGACATCCGAATGGAGTATATGCTGCAATCAATTTGAACACTGCAGTGACTGGATAAATTGTTGGCTTTTTTTTTAAGTGATGTTAGTAGAGGGATAAATGGCAGTCAGTTCCCCAGGGATAGCTTCCACAAAACCTGTCCTGAAGGTGTAACAGATTGTTAACTGATAGGCTTGATTTTCAAGTTGGAAGTTGTCCACTGGTCTAAAACATGTTCAAATCGAACTACCTCAGTTAGGTATGCGCAGGTTTTGACTAAATTGGCAGAAGTAAACAAATAGGCCAATATTTATTGCCCATCCCTCACCCCCTCGAAGAAGGTGGTGGTGAGCTGTCTTCTTGAACTAAAGCAGTTTTGTGAGACAGCGACCATGAGATGTTTTATATCCACCTGAGAGTTTTAGTGGCTTATTGATCTTATAGAGAGTGATACATGGTGCAAGAGGAACACAGATCTCTGGTCGCCCAATACTGGGAAGGATATTCTAAAGCTGGGGAGGATTCAGAAGAGATTTACCAGGAAGTTGCCAGGTTTGGAAGGATTGAGTTACAAAAAAGGGCTGGATAGGCTGGAACTGTTTTCACTGGAGCATAGGAGGTTGAGAAGCGACCTTACAGAAGTTTATAAAATAATGAATTATATAGATAGGGTTAATGGTAGTAGTGTTTTCCCCAGGACGGGAGATTTCAAGACTAGGGGCACATTTTTAAGGTGAGAGGAGAGAGATTTTAAAAAAGGCATGAGGGGCAAAATTTTTACACAGAGAATGGTTTGCATCTGGAATATACTTTCTGAGGGAGTGGTGGATGTGGGTACAATTACAACATTTAAAAGAATTTGGATAAGTACATGAATAGAAAAGGTTTGGAAGGATATGGGCCAGGAGCAGGCATATGGAAATAGTTTGGTTTGAGATCATATTTGGCATGTTGGTTGAATTGAAGGGTCTGTTTCCATCCTGTATGACTCTATGACTGTCCTGCTCCTGTTCAGCATGAAGCTGACCCTCAACTGATTGGTTAATCTGCCAACCCTCAAAATTGAATGGACATTCTGAAGACAAAGTCAATGGCTTTCCCAGCCAACTAGATGACCTTCATGACAAGATGGCAGGAAACTGAGTCAGGTCCTGGTCTTGTCATGTAGTTTTGAGGATGATCTTACGTTGACTGAGGTATCAAAGAAACAAGAGATGGGATTGGAGACTTGGATTGAGGAAGTGGCTGCCAGAGAATGAGATTCTGCTCCCAACTCCTGAGAAGACATTTCTCATGGGAAGTCAGATTGGCATTTCAGCATTGGATTAGGCAATGTTACACTTGGAGATGTATCTTCGATTCTTGAAAGTTCCAGGGCAGTGACGGAGGACTGGGAACCCCACTGCCAATAGAATTGGGGAGTGCTGGCTATAATCACAGCTTGAACTTCCATGGATGAGGTGAGGGTTTTTTTTTAATGCTAGAAGGTGATGACTGCCTCTTACTGACACATACAGGTCCCTATCCCTTTGGCCCCAGCCCTTGTTCCATGAACCTCAGTAGAATCCAATGATGGAGATAATTGACGTGGAGCTCCCAGTCCTCACACTGGAATATGACACTTAATCCCTGCCACAGGTAGTCAGGGACCTGCTTCTACATGTGATTTCTACAAGATGTACTGCAGCAATTCAGCAAGGCTCATTCAGTAACTCCTCCAAAACTACAAACTCCACCACCTATTAGGACATGGGCAGCATAGGAACACCACCACCTGCAAATTCCCCTCCAAGATACTCACTATTCTGACTTGGAAACGTGTTGCTGTTCTTTAATTGTTACTAGATCTAAATCCTGGAACTCGCTCACTAATAGCACTGTTGGTATCCCTACATCAGCTGCCTGCTTTATTTCAAGAAGACAGCTCACCACCACCTTCTTCAAGGGAGTGAGGGATGGGCAATAAATATTGGCCTGTTGTTTACTTCTTCCAATTTAGGCAACACCTGCACATACCCAACTGAGGTAGTTTGATTTGAACATGTTTTAGACCAGTGGACAACTTCCAACTTGAAGATCAAGCCTATCAGGTAACAATCTGTTACACCTTCAGTATAACCCACCATTTGATTTATGTTGTCTGTTGATTGTTACAGACAAATGATCCCTTGTTTCCCTAAGCCATATCAAAGCCCTACTTCTCAGCTGCAGAGTAATATTGCCCAATTCAAATACAAGACTTTCCTTAGATTCAGTTCACTGATAAGTTGATATAAAGTTTGAATTAAGTTTGTTTCCAACATAAATTATATTCACAAAGGCCAAGTTGCAATGCAAATTAATGTTCTGACAAAACTCACGGGTTTCTTGAGAAATGTTTCGGGAATCCGTGTATCATATTTGTCAGAACTCTACTGTGTTGTCCTTTATTGCAAATTCCAATAGTCGTTTATGGAAACATATGCTTAGCAATCTCCTTGACTGATTTCATTTGCTGGACATTGAAAGGAAGGACTGTGGTGAGGGGGAGATGAATTTACAAAGTATTTAACCCTGTATAATCCCCTCAATTTTAGTTCTTGTTATCTTTTGCCCCTCCCTTGCATTGCAGATGGTGAAGCAAGTATTCATTCTGATGAGAGGCTGAGTACATTGGGCCTATATTCTCTGATGGTTAGAAGAATCAGTAGTAATATCATTGAAACAAACAGAATTCTGAAGGAATTTGATGAGATAGATGCAGTTTAAAGATTTATTTCCGCTAGTCCCTGAATCTAAAACACGGGCACACATTGTCAGGATAATGGGCCAACCTTTCAGACTTGAGATAAGGAGAAATTACTTCGCTGAAAGGGTGGCAAATCTTTGGAGTTCTTTAGCTCAGTGGGTTTTGGAGACTTCATCACCGAAGGCTTAGATAGATACAGATCTTTGGTCTGTCGGGAATGGAAGGAACAAGGGGAGCAGACAGAAAACTGGAGAGCTCAAGATCAACCATAATAATATTCAATGGGGAAGCAGACAGCAGATAGGCTGAATGGTATACTCCTGCTCCTATTTCTTGTGTTCTCCCCTGAGATGAGGAGGGATGCAAGAGAAGATGGGGTTGGATGGATGATAGAGAGAGGGGAGTAGTGTTTAGTTAGGATACTGCAACCATTATGGTATGGGACAGCCTCACTGGACTAATTGACATTTTCCTATCATTTTCATGTCTAAAAATATGGCACTTTCTTTTCCTGTTCTCTTAACGTTGAACCCTACAGCATATGGAAATTGATGCATTTTCCAGCTGTGTTTTTAAATAATCAGCATGGTAATATTCCACCTTTTTTAAAAGTCATCCTACTTTAAATTTTACTTTACAAATTAAGTATTCTTTTAGGTGGCAGATTGGAAATTTCACCTTCCTTCAAACTTGTATAATGAATATATCTTAGTGAGAGATTTAATTCAAGCTTTCAAAATCATGACATGTTGGGAGAGTAAATAAGGAGGAATTGTTTCCATTTGCAAGACAGCCATTAACTGAAGGACATTGATTTAATATAAATTGCAAACTAACCAGAGGAGGTGGGGAGACAGAGAGATTTGTTTTAAGTTATATTTGTGAAATGAACTGCCTGATAGAGCAGTGGAAGCATTTTAAACAATAACGTTCCAAAGGGAATTATTTCAGAAAAGCAAATTACAGGGCTATTTGGAGAGAACAAGGGGAAATGACTAACTGTGAAACTTTTAAAGAGCACGCACAGGCAAAAAGGATTGAACGACTGTCTTTTCTGGCATATGATTCAATGAAGGTTGAATGGTTGCAGTGATAAAAGCAAATCACTGAGGCTGTTGCTGTGAATATCTATCTCATGGTTCCTGTGTTTTACAGTGCAAGTTATGGTTTTAGAATATGAGTTTATTTTTTGGGAATTGAAGTCTTTAACTGAAGAAAATAACATGAATGCAATGAATGCAAACGTAGAGTCTATTAGCCTCAAAGGGCTAGGCCCACTTGGCATTAAGAGATTGCTGTCTGAAAAGGTAAGGGTAAAGGAAGTAATTACATTGCTGGTATTTAGAAATTGCCAGAACACTTGAAGAAATTGCAGTTCAAAAAGTTGCCATGTTTAGTTTAATAAAGTCACAATGGAAAGGTAAAATCATAATATAGCATGTGGATTTACTTAGCTGTGAAGCTGGAGACATGATGTCTGCCTTGTAAAGCAGTGTAGTTCAAAGAGCTGCTTTTGTTTTGGGATTTCAGAGCTACATTCATTCAAAACCGTTTAATAAACACTGAAAGCTTGTAAAACCCATTCCATTCATAAGACCACAGAAGAAATTGTAAATAAGGGATAACTAAATTGAAAGTCAGTTTGATTACAGCCCAAGCAGGTTAAGTTATCATGGAGGTAAATGGAGCTTAGGAGGGTTCTCTGGTTTCAATTTCTTTAGGTGTTTGCTGGGAGCGTTTTAGTTGTAATTTAGATCTTGTGTGATTTGCAGCTTCCTGAGATAGGTTAGCCAAAGTAAATGACAGATAGACCTGCACTGTAAGCAGAATAAAACACTAACTTCATCATTGACCATGTGAAAACTAGATGAGGCTTAATCTCAGCTTTAACCTTGTGAGGAACATAAACTAGCAGGAGAATCCACTGTGGGCCTTGCAGTATCATATTAGAAAAGGAACTAACCAGTTGAGTTGGTTGGATGCATTGGAAAAGTAACCAGAGCGAAGGACTGAGACCTCCATAGTCAAGAGTAGGTAAATAAAAGTTCTTTCTCTGAGAATAGATGGAGCTGAGAACTGTAACGTGCTTAGGGGTGGTCTCCACAGAATTAAATAACTTCGATTGATGTGTTTTCTAAAGATTTCTTGGCGAACTAAGAAGTAAACATGACTGCATAACATAGGTAGTTATAAACCATATTAAGTTAATAGTGCTTATTTTGTTTATTTTATAGACAAAAACATTTGTTTTGCTTAAAAATAGTGAAATTGTGTGGCTCAATTCTTTCTTTTTAAATGTTAGTAGTTCTTAACTCTATCATAGCAGTATAGAGGTAATTTCATAGAAAGATTGCAGGAATGAGGGATGCCAGTTATTTGGATAGACTGGAGATGTTGGAATAAAAGAAGAAAGTGCTGGAAATACTCAGCAGGTCTAGCACCATCTGAGGAGAGAGAAATAGGGTTAGAATTTCAGGTCAATAACCTTTCAATAAAACTTTGAACTGGAAAGGCTCAGGTTGTACTGTTTGAAGTGTTTGGCCAAAGAACCACAGGCATCACAAGCAAAAACATTCCTATGCATTGGTTAGGATTTGGAATGTATTGTTTGCAGGAATATAGGAAAAAGCCAGCGATTGGGACTAATTGTACTACTCTATGAAACAGCCAGTACAGAAATGATGGGCTGACTGGCTGCCTTTTATGCTTTTATGATTCAGCCATGAGAATAATTGCTCAGAAAAAAATAAGGAAGGAGATTTGTAGAAATACACTTAATAATTTTTGAAACTGAGGTTCCACTGGTGAGGACAACCAGCAGAGCTGGAATGTAATGATATTACATGAGATTACTTAATGGTTAACCTCCCTTTTCTGCTTATGTTTCTGCCCCCTCCACTCTGTGTGTACAATGGGCCCTCTTATCTTTATGCTACTGTAGAAAGAGATATGCTGTCAAAGAATGTGAAATTTCAAGCGGAGGGACAATGTATACCTGTGCTCCTTTTCCTTTTCTGTATAAATTGTTGCTTCCTTTGAAACCTTGTGTCTGTCCGACGGAGTGCAAGATGGAAATCTTTGATACCAATGTCTCCATCATAAACAATTCTCAACTCCTGCACCACCAAGCAACTGTTCTATCTGTGTTTTCCTCACAAAAGTTAAACTATCAGTGGCAAACTACTGCAGTAACAGGCTGTATAACACATGAAGTGCTAGCAGCAATCTTCATCCTGTTATTATGTCTTTTCTATTTCTTTTAGCTCCATGTGGGGCTGGTTTGACAGAAGATGGTAAACCTCTGCCACCTTGCATAACTGGAGCATGGATCATTCCAGCTATAATGGCCTGTTATCTCTTAGTTGCAAATATTCTGTTGGTGAATCTCCTCATAGCAGTGTTCAAGTGAGTATTGAGATACAAACAATGCATGCAAAAAAAATTAACATTCAGAGACAAAAAAATAAGATTAGACTATGAGTGATGTAAAGGAATTCCTTCAACATTAGCCTCAAAATTTCTTTAGCAATAATTTTTTCCCATCTCCACACATTCTTGATGGAGTCAGAGTCCATGCAAGGGAGCTTATCCATCCAGCAGCAGCAGGCTGTGAATTTTACACATTTATGTTGGAAAACTGATATTCCTGAGGCAACTCCGCGCACCCACCGCCCGCCCCACCACCCACCGTCCCTTCCACCACCACAACCGGGCAGAGTCCAGAGCCCTAAAATGGTCCTGTAATGGCAGATTGGGAGCTACTGATATTCCTTTCCCTTCTCCATCACCCTAGCATCAAGCTGCTGGGATGTGATGTTCACAGGCCATTCTGTAGATAGGACCCACAATGATGTTCTAACAACCACGCCCCAGCAGGACATTTAATTTTTCACAATGCTGCAGAGGGCTCCTCCTTTCTGAAGTGCCCTTGATGTCTCCCATCGGCCTCGGAGCTGTCTACCAGAGATCCCTCCGGAAACTCCTTATCACCTCCATATTCCCTGGTCCACCCACTCTCCTTAATTTGTCAAGGCTCCCATGGTGGGTTTTGATTGGCCATATTCCAGATAGATGGCACCTGATCTCCCAGCATAGACACTTCCATGTTCCTGATTGGGATTTGAGGTAGATAATTTGGTATAGCAAGGGCATCCCAAAACATTTCACAGCAAAGTGGGATTACTGTTGAAACATCTGTACAGCAAGATTGAAGCAATGTCGGAATAAGCAGATCATTTGTTTTTTGTAATGTCAATGGAGGGATTGATATTGGTCAGGACACTGGGAACAAGTCCCTGAAATTATTGCCATGGGATTCCAATTGTCTATTACGGTGTAGACAGAGCAGATTTGGGCGGGGAGGTAGATGGGTGTTGAGCTGAAATTGGCTAGGTGTCATTGTTGGCACGCTTCATAGAGGATTTCTCACTGTGAGCCCTAGTGAGTTTTCTTGTGCAAACTTGCCAAACTCGCCTCATTAACTATGTATTAAGTCCCCATGGAGCCCCATTGCCATATTCTCCCACTTGGTGCAGGCAGGACATCCCAGAATTCATGGTGTTGGTGCCATCTTTAAAGCTCAGCTGGTCAAGTGTGGCAGGCCACAGCTGGTTTGTTTTATTTGCCCCTGGACAAATCAGACAGAGGGTAATTGACCCGTCTTTTGCTGACGGGTGGTCCTGTTGAGGGGGGGAAGTTGGTGGTGCATGCAGCCACTGCCCGTGGATATTGCCCTGAGATGTTGGTGACTGATGGAGATCTGAAGGAGCAAGCAATAAGTTGGAGTCAGCAGTTTACCTTTTATGTCAGGAATTGACACTTGCGTAGTTTCTCTGTGGCGAGTGGGAGAATAGGAAACTGCATAATGATGAGGCGAGCTGATGTAATATTAAGGACGTAAATACTTGCTAATAGGCCTCTCACTGCTCAGTAGACCATCTTATCTCATTATTAAACACTTGGTTGGAAAATGGGAACTCTTGCTCTTGAAAGCAGAAAGCTCCCCACTGCTGATCTCATGATTTTCCAACTTTTTGCAAATACCCACATTATTTAGATCATAGAATCTCTACAGTGTGGAAACAGGCCCTTCGGCCCAACAAGTCCACACCAAACCGCAAAGCATCCCACCCAGACCCACCCTATCTACATATCCCTGAACACTACAGGCAATTTAGCATGGCCAATCCACCAAGCATGCACATTTTTGGACTGTGGGAGGAAACTAGAGCACCCAAAGGAAACCCACGCAGACATGGGGAGAATGTGCAAACTCCACACTGTCACCTAAGGGTGGAATTGAACCCAGGTCCTTGGTGCTGTGAGGCAGCTGTGCTAACCACTGTGCCACCCATGGGCATGAGAAGATTCTATCCAGGGTCTCAGTTTAACTTCAAAACTGAAAGACAGTACCTCCAACAGTGCAGTGCTCCATCATTAATGCAGTATGTGTTTCAGCCTAAATTATGCACTGATGTCACCGGAATGGGACCGGAACACACAACCTCAGATTCAGAGCACAGAGTGCTACCATATAATATGCCTTTGCATATTATAACTTTGCAAAAAGACATCTGAATAGAATCCTCAAACTTGATGATCTTCATTTCCACAGTGGGGGTCAGCCCTGGGAATCCACATTTCACATAATTGTTGAAGTGTTTATGTTGGGAAGATAAGTGATGCACTTGGCTATGGAGAAAGTTTATTTTTTGCAACTGAACAGAAATGAATACAGCATCAGAATATAGTAAAAAAGATAGAAAGCTACTTTGCAGAAGAAGACCATTCATCCCATTGTGCTTGTTCTTAGAATCTGCTATTTGATGAGTCCCACTTCTCTGCGTTTTCCTCGTAACTTTGTGAATGGCTCCCTTATAATATTTATCCAATTCCTTTTTGTAAATTACTATTGAATCTGTCAACTGCCTGTTCAGGCACAGACTTGTACAAAAATACCATCCTTATCTCCCTCAGGTTATTTTGCCAATAATCGTAAATCTGTGGCCCTATTGTCACCAACCATCCTGCCATTGGAAATAGTTTCTCCTTACCTGTTCTGTCAAAACCCACTATGCCACGGCTACAGAAAGCAGAACAAATAAACAACAAACTCTATAATTATCCTTTTCAAACTGTATAATTTTGGCGCCCATTTAGTTTTGGCCTGTAATCATTAAAACTGGATTGATAATGTAGGAATGTTCAAGCAAACAAAGAGATAAGACCATCACTCTGTCAAGTTGTACTGAACTTGCACTTTGCCCCCATGGGTGACAGTGTACCATTGTACCACTGGGCTTTTTTTTAAAACTTCTTCCTTCTTCTCCAGTCCCTTGAACATGAAAGATTGAAGGATCATCTTATTGTCTAAGAATGATTGAAAGGCTTGATACCATAGATAAAATACCTCCTTTGGTAAAGGAAGATTGAAAGGCTTGATGCCATAGATAAAATACCTCCTTTGGTAAAGGATGATTGAAAGGCTTGATACCATAGATAAACTACCTCCTTTGGTAAAGGAAGTTCAGATCCAATGGGCAGCCCTTAGAATTAGAGACAGGCTGTTTAGAAGTGATGTTAGGAAGCAGTTCTTCACACGAACTTTAGTGGAAATCTGAAGTTCTCACCCAAAGATTTTGTTGAGGCTGGGGGTCAAGTGAAAATTTCAGACTAGGCATGGGTTTTTCTGGTTGGATAAAATATTAAGAATTAGGAAACCAGGGCAGTTGGATCGAGTTAAAATATTGTTCAAGTATTATCTAATGGAATGGCAGAATAAGCTGAAGGGCTGAATGACCTCTTTTTCACTTCCCATGTACTGATACTTTCTTTATTTTTCTCTTCATTTTACAACTTTCCACCAATCTCTCCCTTTAACATTTATTTTTGCTACATTGGGGTACTCAATTGGCTATCCACTTTCCACATAATGAAACTTAAATGAAAAAAAACAAAATGAAACTTAATTCTTGCCCATGGCTCTTGTTTATTTGCAGTTTATTAAAAACTTTGCCTCTTGACAAGATACTCTGTGAAAGAAGCCAGTTTATCTTAGCGGACTGAATAAGGAAGCCCCAGTTTTGTTTTACATTGTGCCTCATTTCTGTTTTCTAATTCCTTCTCACCTTTGCAGCAACACATTTTTTGAAGTGAAATCGATTTCGAACCAAGTTTGGAAGTTTCAAAGGTACCAGCTGATTATGACCTTCCACGAGAGACCTGTTCTGCCTCCTCCACTAATCACTTTCAGTCACATGACCATGGTCTGCCAACTCATTTGCTGCCGCTGGAGAAAGCAGGAGACTGAACAGGAGGATAAAGATTATGGACTTAGTAAGTAACTTCTGTACCAGGAGTGGCTGTTCCGGTGCCAGGACTCCTGTTTTTGCTGAGCCAATCCACCTTGGTAACAAGTGAAAATAGCAACTAGAACACAATTCATTGTGACTTTAGAATGTGCTGTGGGCAGACAAGATCCCAGCCCTACATGGGATCTTGGATACTTTAAAGTGAGATCATGTCTTAAGGCTAAAGCCACAGGTCGGTTTCCAACCACTCTGGTGGACTCCCATTGAAATTGCCAGATACATGTTTAGGAAAGAAATGGATGCGTGAGGTGATCGGATAGATAGAGATTTCTTTAAAACCACAATGTTAGTTCTGGAAGTGAAACTTGCTACCATAAGGGTTGGTTGAGGTGAATAGTATACATGTATTTAAGGGGAATCTGATTCAAAACATGTAGGAGAAATGAGTAGAAAGAGTCACTGGTAGGATGAGATGAAGTGGCATGGGAGAATGCTCATGTGTAACAAAAACAGTCAGAAACAAGAAGGGCCGAATGGCCTGTTTTGTCTTGTAAAATTCTGTTGCATTTTATGAATAGCCATGGATTTTTGAGGTCAGATTTTTCATTCCAATGGCCTGTTTTAGGATGCTTCTAACGGGAAAAAAGTATTTTGAACCAGCAGAATACCTTGGCAGAATAAAATGAGCTAATTTTAAAATGTGCCCAACTAAACTAATATATTTTTATTAGGCTACATATAGTGATGCCCACAAGTCTGGACTAGCACAGTGATGATTGATAGGCTAATTTATCCAATCACTAATGTAAGTGACTGGGATTGATTTAACACACAACTTGTGTTTTGTAACAATGCTATTCATGCTCTTCACTGAAAAACAATATGCTGCTTTTATCAGAAGTTTTTGCTGTCTTTTCAGTGTTGAGTTCTGTTGACGATAACTCACTGTTTAAACAGATGCTGTTTACCAAGATAGATTCTGTTTACTGCTGACTCCATTTACTGTTAAATAAATTGTTTGCTATGAATTCTGCCCTAAGTATTACCCTGCCTCCAATTCACTGGATGACACTAGTGGCATTACACTTTTAATAGGCCATTTAACTTATTAATGAGTGTACACATTTTTGCAATAAGACTCACTAATTATACTCCTTTCTTTCTCCCTTATCCTTCTTTTCATCAGAACTCTTCATCACTGAAGATGAACTAAAGAAGCTGCATGACTTTGAGGAGCAGTGCATAGAGGAGTATTTTCGAGAAAAGGATGATATGTTCAACTCTTCAAATGATGAGAGAATCAGGGTCACTGCTGAACGGTGCGTTATTGCTATTTTCACTGTCATATAATAAAAGACCATTTTAGTTCAGGTTCAGTGGTATTTCAGGGCTGTGTATATATGTTCAGGATGTCTGAGATGGAGAAGGGTTAATCAAGCTCTTGATCCTGATCATAATCCTGCTCTTGATCCTAAACTTGTCCCTGTTCCTGATCATAATCCTACTCTAAATCCTGATCTTGTCCCTGTTCCGGATCTTAATCCTGCTCTAGATCCTGATCTTGTCCCTATTCTGGATCTTAATCCTGCTCTAGATCCTGATCTTGTCCCTATTCTGGATCTTAATCCTACTCTAGATCCTGTTCCTGATCCTCATCTCAATTCTGTTCTAGACCCTGATCCTGTTACTAATCAATCCCACTTCCCCGTCCATAGTGCTGCAACTCTTTCCCCTTCAAATATTTATTCAAATCCCTTTTGGAAAGTTATTGTTGGGGCTGTGTCCCCTGCCCTTTCAGGCAGTACAATCCAGATCATGACAACTTTGTTTGCCATTATCACCCCTTTAATTCAGGTTCGTTCGCTGCTCCTTTGCAGCAGAGGCTGTTGATTTAAAATGATTCTAATGGGGCTAGGATGAAGGATTCATCAGTACAGTTATGTTCAGTGTCTGCTCCATTTTCTCTTGAGCAGAGTCGATAACATGTCGATGAGGCTGGAAGAAGTGAACGAAAGGGAACACTTCATGAAGGCATCCCTGCAGACCATGGATGTCAGACTGGCACAGCTGGAGGAGGTGACAGGACGCATTGCATCAGCCTTGGAAAAGCTGGTTGGCATGGACAAGGGAGAGGCAGGCAAGGTGAGATCCAGGACCTCCTCGGACTGCACTGACACGGCTTACATCCTGAGGCAGAGCAGCTTCAACAGCCAGGAGGGCAACAACTACAAACTCCCAGAATGTGGGGAGCAGGCCGGAGAGGAGCCCATGTCGCCCACATCGCCCACCATCACACCAAGGATGAGGAGCCACTCCTTCTACATGGTGAGCCCCAAGCCGCAGGTCGGGATGGAGCAGAATGAGTTCCCCTTCAAGGAGAGGTCCCTGAGCTTACAGAGGACCAGCAGCTCGCAAATGATGGCTGTGGTGAAGGAGCTGAGACCCGGGCCACCCCCTGACCCTGACCCTGCCCCAGCTCCGGCAGCTGCCCCCCCAGATGGGAAAAGGCCATCGTCTTGTATCGACATCTATGTCTCGGCCACTGAGAAGGAGGAGGAGGAGGAGGAAGAGGAGATGGTGGAGAGTTCCCTGAAGGTGCCCACTGGGCTTGGGCCATCTGAAATGATGGTGGTCATGCTTGGCAGCCAGGGCTCTTCTCTGGTGTCCAGCCAGTGGCCAGAGGGGAGTGGGACATACGAGGAGATGTTTATCTCAGATGGCCTGGTGACAGTCCCAGAGAGTGTGCAGACAGCCGAATGCCTACAGCAGTGGGAGACTGACCCTCCCATGTACCACACTCTGGAGCGCTCTAAGAGCAGCCGCTACCTGGCCGCCTCCAGCATCTACGCGGACGACTCGCCGATGGTCAAGTCGCACAGCTTCGTCTTCCCGTCGCGGGGTTATTACGGCTGCTGCCTGGGAGTTCCCGTCAAAACGACCGAGTACACCAGCATCACCGACTGCATCGACACCCGCTGCGTGTCCGCCCCGCCGCTCGGCATCGAGCACCCGCACTTGTCCGGCGGCTCGGCCGGATTGCACTCGGGCAGCCTGGACGAGGTGTGCGCCTCTCACCCGGAGAGAGAGGCCGAGCTGAGCCACCCGAGCTCGGAGAACGAGGAGAGCGAGGGGGATGTCCGCCCTCCCCCAGCGGAGCCGCTCTGCAACAGCAACAGCGGCGGCGGCGTCCTGCTGTACGGCCCGGACAGCGCATCCCCGCTCTCCCGGCTGGGGAGAGGGAACAGCTACACCGCCTCGGAGCCCAACGAGCTGGGCTCGCACGCCAGGAAGAGCTGCTCCATCAGCGACAAACTGGACACCCAGTGGAACTCCCTCCGCACTGAAACCCCCTGCCAGCGCAGCCGCCCCTCCAAGCCGGACGAGGCCATCTCCCTGAAGACTCTGTCGAGGACGACAGCTTTTCAAAGTTTTGACAGCAGCAAACAGCACAGCTTCACATAATTGCCGCTGCCTCCTCTATTCTTTTATTGTGGATCAAAATGTGTGCTCGTTTCCCCCCACCCTGTGAGATTCATTGGCGCCTAAATGGTGTCCTGTTGGCCACCACCATAATCTTGTGTGTTTAAAACACTACCCAAGTGTGTGTATGCCCTTGGCACAGTGTACTTCCTTGTCCTGATATTAAAGGAACCGTGTCACCATGTGGGGCAGTGGAATAATAGTTCTAAACCTCTGGAAATCCAGGGTGTTGGCAGGGGTGCCAATTCCCTTAGCATTACTGTCACTACACCAAACAACGCTTTTCACTATATTTGTAATACACGTGACAATAGATTAATCGAATCCAATCCATGTCAGATGCTGGAAGCAGCAAGGAATCACCCTTCTGCCTCCCCTATGCCTTCAACAGTGCCAGGTTATTTAAAGGTTTCAGAAGTCAGGCCATAGAATCATACATTTATAGCACAAGAGGAGGTTATTCGACACATCATCTAGAGTCATAGAGACGTACAGCACAGAAGCAGACCTTTCGGTCCAACTCGTCCATGCCGACCAGATAGCCGAAATTCATCAAATCCCATTTGCCAGCATCTCTTTAAACCTTTTCTATTCATGTACCCATCCAGATGCATTTTAAATGTTGTAATTGTACTAGCCTCCACCTCTTCCTCTGGCAGCTCATTCCATACATGCACCACCCTCTGCATGAAAAAGACAGCCTTTGGGTCTCTTTTATATCTTTCCCCTCTCATCTTAAACCTATGACCTCTAGTTTTGGACTCCGCTCCACTGGGAAAAAGATGTTGGCAATCTGTGGCGTCTCTTTGAAAGATTTATCCAATGAATTCCACTCCCCCCACTCATTGCCCCATTTTGCATTTCCTGCACTTTTAAAAATTATTTGCTGGTGTTTATCCAGTCCCCTTTTGAAATTTCTATTGAATCTGCTTCCAAGCAGCACATTCCAAATGACAATCACTTGCTACAGATAATTATGTATAAATTTTGTCTCTTGCTTTGGCTCTTTTCCCAATCACCTTGAACTTTTTGAATCTTCTGTCACTGGGAATAGTTTTTCCTCATTAACTCCAAATCCTTCATTATATTGAATACCTTGTCTCAACCATCTTTGTTCAAAAGAGAGAAATCTCTGTTTCCCTGGTTTTCAGAGGCCATAATGATACTGGTAACGTCAAATGAAAATTTTAGAACGAGATTTTTTTGTTATTGTTGGGTAAAGTCTATTAAAGGTTATGGAACCAAAGTGAGTGGGTGGAGTTAAAATACAGATCAGCCATGACCAAACTGATTGACAGAATAGGTTTAAGGGGCCAAATGGCCTCCTACTCTTACTACAACCCTGTGGTTCCACTTCTGAAACTGGTTTAAAATTTTTTAAATTAAACCTATTTTTCTAATCAACCTGTTCAGAGTTGTGATTACACACCTCTGGAGCAGGTGGGACTTGAACCCAGGTTTGTTTGTCTAGGGGTAGGAATGCTACCACTATGCTACAAGAGCCCACTGAAACTGGTTTAAAGAATAGATAAATAAATGTTTCACATGATTTACAATAATCTTTAGTTCTATAGGATTGGCTCATGTTCAGACAGGAGTAACAAGTGGTAGAATGATGGCAGGCCTTCTTAAGAGTTTTTCACATGTAGATGTCAGAGAAGGAGCTGACCCAGCCTAAACTCCAGATGATGTGGCCCCCTTAATTCATTTTTCAAAGAATAAAGTGAAAGGACTGTAAGTAAACGTGACCACAATGCAGTGAGTAAAACAGCACAAAGGAAGAAATCATTTTGATACCAAACAATGGTGAATTTTATCTTAACTGCTGTTTGTTAATATTTGATAGCCTTTTGAGGAAGGATTGTACAGTATTTTTAAAAATAATTTGCAAGTATCTGTAGTTTTGTGATTCCGAGTCCAATTATTCATCAAGTGAGTAACGTTTATATGGTTGCTAAAAATCTATTTGCTAGCTCTTATTTTAAAAGCATGTATGCTGTTGCAATAAGGATGTAAATAATAGTGTTCATCCATTTGGTCCAGACTTGAGATTAAGACTCTAGCATTGCATGCATTTAAAAAAAAGCTGGATTTCACCAAAATGTATCAGGCTTAATAGGTAAAAGTTAGTGGTTATCTTGGACAAATGCTACATGTTCCAAATGCCCATGGCTGATAGCCAAAGCAATGAGTTTTGGTTCTTTTAGAACTTAATGTCCAAGTTAGTTAGATCTCAAGGGTTGAGCCCACAGGCCTTGCAAAACACTCAAGCACATTGGTTTTAAAAGGCGATGTTTTGAAGAATCATAGAATCGTACAACACTGATGGTGGCCATTCAACCCACCTTCCCTGTGCTGGCTCTTTAAAAGAGCTATTCAAACAGTCCTACTGCCCTTTCTTTTCCCATAATCCTATGAATGGTTCCCTTTAACTATTTAACCAATTCCCTTTTTGTAAGTTACTATTGAAAAAAGTGTTTACTAATTTTCTTTTGCCAATAATATTAAATCTGTGTCTTCTAGTTACTGAGCTTCCTGCCACTGGACACCGATTAACAGATTATTCAGGAACCTTTACTGTTCAAAGCTAAAATTCAAACTGAACCCCCAGAAATGCCAATCAGGTCTTCAACACTCTGCACACTTATACATCTGCAAATCAGCAGTCTTGCATTGCCTGTGTCTAGTGAAGTAGATTTGTTAAAGTCCGAATATGACCCCCACTCATGTGATGACTTAATTTAGTATAACAAAATACCATATTCTCTTACTGATAGCAAATACGTTAATCGAAGCTTACAAAGATGTTGTAAACTTGAAGTGCAATATTTACCTGCTATGATGCCAAAACCCACAGGTTAAACCGTCATTTTGACACAATAGTACAAACGCAATGGGTATTTTGGTCCAAATGAACAGGTCAATCCAGTATTTGTCACTGAATTTCACTCAGCTTTTTGCCAACATCAGGTATCTTGGATGTTCTCACAGCTCAATGTAAAATCAAGGGGAGTGTTTATTTTAAAACATTAGACCCCTTAATACTATTGCCCTTGACAACCCCAGGGAAATCATTGATCTTAACAGTAATGTAATCACAAAGCAAAGTTTGGAAAAGGGTTCTTTAAAAACAGTTCCGGTTCTTCAGGCTAAGAGTTATAAATGTATGTTCTGGTTGTATATTAAAAGTTAAAAAAACTACTTCATGAAACTTATAAGTCTTTATGTGAGATTATCCCCATTCATCAACTAGATAATGATCACTTCAGCTGAGAGTGACTCTCCTTCCATTCAGCCAAATGACTGTAAACACCGTGGGAACAAATCCACAATATATGCTTTAAAGAAAATGTTATGTCATTATCGCGGTAGATAGTGTTAATGCCAATTAAAGGGAAAGATTTTTCATCCAATATTTTGTCTCTATCTTTCTTTTTGTAATGCCTTTGTTTTCCTCATCTCTTCATTTATGAAATTGAATGAAGGTCTCATCAGAAACAGATTTGATTTCTTCATTACAAAAAAAAGGGGACAAATGAGGCAAAAATACCTTGAAATTGTTGATTTACAGTCCCCTGATAAGGTAGGAATTCTGGATGTAGAGTTTCTGCTTTGGATACAATCAAGAAATTGCACTCGAAATGTGTTGGCTCAGTAACATTTCAAATCTTCATTAAAATTCATTTGCATAATCACAATCGTAAAATTTTCCATGAACCAGTGCAATCAGACAGTCTAATAAAATTTCATTACTTTTTATTTTATCCCCATTAAAATCTATTACTTGAGATACTTAAGACCGGTAACCAGTGTAGTTTTATTTTACAAAGTTGAAAATGGATTTATCACAGAAATAAATATTTTAATAAGGGTGTCCAAGAATGAGTAACCCAAATTAAAATTGCTGAAAATAAATTGAAGAAATTGAAACTTAACCATTTAAACCATTTGATCAGTATAAATGTGAAATGAGTTCTGTGTCATTTAAGTAACAACACTTTGAGCTTCAAGGAATAGGAACTCTATCTTGTTTGATTCTGCAAGCTGCTGATGCCAGAAGAGACTGCTAGTTTAGATGCTCCAGATCAGTTCCTACTGGTTCTGTTACATAGCACATGCTTATCAAGGTGCAGCGGTGAAAAAAATGAAGTGCTGGAGAAACTCAGCAGATCTGGTAGCATCTGTGGAGAGAGGAACAGAGTTTACGCTTCAAGTCCAATATGGCTTCTTCAGAACTGAAAATGTTCCCTACTGAAACGTTTATACATAATACTTTCATTTTTAGTCCTTATTATACGTATCGTTTCGGTCAGTTTCCTTTCCCTTATTTCTTCGTGGAAAGAGGGTACCACTGGCAAGTCCAGCATTGATGTCCGTCCTGAATTAATTTCCATTGAATTGAGTGACTGCTATATCATTTCAGAGATAGTTAAGAGACAACAATATTGCTGTGAGTCTGAAATCAGGCCAGACTAGGTAAGAGCAGCAGTTTTCCTTCCCTCAAGAACATTAGTGGGTTTTTACAGCAATCAATGACAATTTCATGGTCATTATAGCAGAATTATGAATTGAGGTTAAATTAATTCAAATTTAAATTCCACCAGTTGCCATGATGGGATTCAAATCCGTGTGCCCAAAGCATTAGCTTAAGCCTCTGGATTATTTATCCAATGACATTACCACTACACTACTATCTCCTCTTCTTAATGAATACTTTTGATATGAAAATATTCTAAATTGTGCTTCCTGGCAGTAAGAAACTGAATGCAATTTGAAGAGCCTTCTTGAACCAGAAATTTGCAACATTGAGCTGAGGACATGGGGAAGGGGAGTTGCTGACTATTTTTGGGGTGGGAAACAATCAGGGTGAATAGAATCTTAATCAGTGTAAAAGATTGTGGAAATCATGAGCAAAAGTAGTGTTGCCACTGCTGCTCTACAATTCAAATTCCTTCATCATTTGTACTGATTTGGCCAAGTGCGATGGGATCCAAGGTCAAGACTAGTAAAAATTTACAAGTTAAACTGGAGTAATGAAAATTCATTTTTGCAGTAAATTCCTCTCTTTCTTATGGAATTGCTACAATTCTCTGCTACAGATTAATTATTTCAGTCTAAAGATAGGACCCACCAGACGCAGTGCTGCTTGGGAGTAGATCCGCATTATATTCAGTTAAGCATGGTGACTGTGATTCAGGTACCATAGCATTGTGAGCAGGACAGCACAACATGAATCTATTGACTATGGAAGCCAAGAGGAGTTAACCTTACAGCAACATTTTGCACAGTCCCACTTATTTAAATTATGGTCACCTTGTTAGAGAAAGGATGTTATTAATGTGAAAAGGGTTCAGAAAAGATTTACAAGGATGTTGCTGGGATTGGAAGGTTTGAGCTATAGGGAAAGGCTGAATAGGCGGGGGCTTTTTTCTCTGGAGCATCAGAGACTGAAGGGTGACTTTATAGAGATTTATAAAATCTTGAGGAGCATAGATAAGGTAAATATTCAAAGTCTTTTTCCTAGGGTAGGGGAGTCCAAAACTAGAGGGCAAAGGTTTACGGTG